AAGAGAAACGCTGTAGAGAAAACTGATGCAAAAAAAACTATTAGAGAGTTTTAGTGCATTTGTAGCTAAGCTAAACCCATTCTAAGTAAAGGAAGACCAATATCAATAAGTGAACTATCAGTGTAAAAATCTAGCATAAAAGAGTTATTAAAAGAATGTGAAAGAGTTAGTAACTGTGAGTTGTGGGGAGGAAAAATAAATTTATCTATAAAGTTAGAATAAGCTAAGGGAGTGAAGGGTTAGAGGAAAGGAATAAAAAAAGGTAAAACACTGAATTAAAATGAGTTAGAGCTAATTCATTAAGGGTTTTTTGAGACAAGAAGTAGATCAAAGAATTACAGATCTCTTTATCATATTTAACCTTGATAGGAACACTCAGAAAAACAGGTAGCTCTATTAAATCAGTTGAAGTATTATTGTAGTTTCTCTAATGAAAGATGTGCAAGAGACCGTTATTACAGATAAATAAGTGTGACTTTTGTTCTTCATCTTCTATGATTATATAGTGGAGTAGGTAATATTTATTATTGACAATGTTAACAACTTTAGCAGTAACAAAATGATTATGTTGATTGTCTCAGATAGTGATAAAGTACTATACATCAACTATTAAAGAAGGAGTAAAAAATGTCATAACTGTGCCAAATATTATGTTTATAGGAATTTTGTCGTGAAAGGAAATGACCAATTTCTAGTTTAAGTTTATCTTCAAGTATAAAAACCAATCAGGTTTTTTATATCCTGACGTAGTGTAATTGATAAGTTTTTTAAAATCTCTGAAGGTAAACATGTAATTGCTAAAACAATTAACTAGTTGGTTGACAAAGAATACTAAATATTTTCTAAGGTTCTTTTTAAGGGATCTATTTAAGTTAGGGATTAAATATGAAATTAGAGTAATTTCTCTTGAAATATAATTATGATATAGTATAAGAATATTAATGCTTAAATTAGACGTCTTTATGACATATAAGAGAGCAGAAAGCTAAGAATTTTTGTTACTGGATTTATTATATAGCCAGTAAACTAATGGGCTTTTAAAAAGCCATTTATCACATTATATTTAGATTACACATATGTGAAATAATAATCTGAAGACATTTTCTTCGTTAACTATTTATACAAGTGCACTTACTGTATTTTGTAAAATTCTTTGATAAAGAGGTATCATATTATAATTTAAATATGATATGAAAAGGACTATAGGTGTTTTTTATGAGAACTTCAGTTTGCATTTCATAAAAGCTAAATAAATAGCGAAGTGTCTCATAGAAGTATTATTTATAATGAAGGTGAGCTGAGTCTTATATTCAATTCGTAAGAGCAGAACTGTATTATAGATGTAACTTAAGTGAGCATCTATAAGTCTTTTATTTTTTATTATTGTGAAGTATTGCGAAATTCATCAGAAATTTGTTTATTAATAAAAATTACGTTAGAAAGTAAAGAAATTCATATACCTAAGTAACAAAAACTATCTTTAAGTTTCTTTGGAGTAATAATCATACTCGAGTCATTTGAGTCAATATTTAAGGAAGCAGTATATTTTCTATTGACTAAAAGGGCAGATTTTGACCAGTTTACTTGAATATTATTGTAGTTGTAGAAACTGTTAATAACATTGATAATGACTATAAATCTTTTTAATTCTGATTTCTATAAACAATATTCTTGTAAAATTATTTTCATTTCTTTAGGTTTTTCATAAAATTTTCATTTGAATAAACAGTAAGAAATATCATACTTTAAACTTACCTATTAAAAATAACATTATACATAATTAGTTGCTTTTCACTAGGATTAAGATTTATATTTGCTATATTGAGAGTATCATCAGCTAATTTTGCATAATTAGAGAAATTATCAAATGCAAATATTGTAATTATTTTAGGATGTATTTTTCAAAATTAGTATTGTTTGAGTTTTAATCTATATATATAATAATAATATTAAAAATATAATTTTTTATAAATTAGTTTATAATATATTTATATTATTTGATTAATCAAATGATCAATATTTTACCATCTATCAAAATTTTTTCTAGAATTAATTATCACACAAGCTTCATACGAAATTGTTTTATCTATATTATTTTCATTTAATTTTAATCTTCTAATAGTTTTTATTAAAAAATCACTAACATGAATAGAACTTTATTGACCTTTTTTACATAATAGTTGTTCAGTTTTAGGTCTCTAACCTGATTTTTATCTTTATCTATCATTTGATTGAAAAATTATTTCATCATATATTATAAGAATATGTAATTTTTGTTTACTTTTTAATTCTGAATTAATCTTAATTTCAAATTCATCACCAATAAATTTCAGTATTAATTTTTAATAACTATAATATATGGGAGTGTTTCTAGGAAAATCAAATTCCAAGAAATTTTTGACTAAAATTAAGAGCTTAATACATTTTAATCTAATAATATCAAAAACTAAAATGCAATAAAAATCTCAATTTTGCTAAAAAATTTCCAGAACCTGATTTTCCTAATAATTAACCCATATAGTGACTATTAAAAAAAATACAATAATATAGTATAAATTTTGCTGATCATCTAAAATTATGTAAAAGTATTATAGAAACATATGCTATACCTTATTCGAAAGTCATAAACTAAAGTTATTAGCCAATATAAATTTTATATTAAATTTACTATTTATTTCAAATAAATAAAACTTTAAAATTTTAAAAATTTTAAAAATTTTTATCATTTTTTTTAATTATATAATTAATCATTCAATTCATTAAAATTTGTTAAAATTTTTATAAAATATGATAAAAAATATATATATTTATAAATATATTTTTTTATTACTAGATATTTCCTTTTTGGCTAATTATATCTACAATTCTTTAAAGTATCATTCAAATTAGCTTTGTATAAATCTCAATTTCAATATTATTCTAAGCTGATTGAATCTTTTCTCATAATTGCTTCTTATTTTTTATTGATTTATTTAAACATTATAACCTTCAATCTAACTCATTTCACATATATTTGATTAGATTTAAAGCTAACGATTACGCTGGCTAATCTAAACTGTAACATTATTATCTTCTAATTAAGTTCTTGTTAAATAAGCTTTATGTTTATGATCATTATCACATTAAAAAATAATTTTATTAACTTTATATCTATAATAACTAAGAGTTTCTAATAGATCAACTTCTAAAATTTTACAATATAGAGCGGTATCTATTCTATCATTGATCTTGTATAAATATTCAATACCATGAGGTATGAAACATCTCTAAACAAATATTTTGCTACCTCTAAATTTTACAGTTCCTTTATATAATAATCTTTTAAAGGTTTACCAGTCTGTTTTAATAATACTTTTTATTGTCTAAACTAAAAAAGATTGAATTTGCTTTTATCTGATCATATTATTTTACACTAATTATCATAATTCTAATGCTTATGATCTTTTATAAATTTATATTGTATTTTTTATACTAGTCTAATAATAATAGTTTTTTAGCTTTAATAGCTAACTTAAATTTATTTTTCTTAAATACTTATTGTATTATAATATTAGAAATTTATAAGTTCTATTAGTATTTTTTGAACTTGAATGGCATTTGTATATTCTTTTCTAATAATATAATAAACTGTCTAACATTTTTTACAGTTAGTTAAAATGAGGTTAGCTAAATTTTGATAAGTCTTTAATACTTTTTGTTTTTTCATATTTTTTATAGAGTTGAAAAATAGTACTTCTAAAAATATGATATCTTTCAGCAAGTTCAGCTTGTAAATATATTTCTTTATCTAATAAAATATAAATTTGTACCTTTTGTTCTTTACTTAAATAAACCATATTGTAAAAAAAATGAGAAACTTCATTTTTGAAATTTCAATATTTATAATTTTTAATATTAATATTCTAAACATTTTGAATAGAAAAAAAGCTAAAAAAAAATTAAAAAAAAAGAAAATGAGATGATACAAATATTACATAAATAGTAATATTTCATAGTATAAATAATATAAATAGTATAAATAAAGTATTTATAGATAAAATTTTATATTACTATATACAGTTTGTTAATTTAACTATAAATAATATAATTACAATAACTTGTGTTATATTATTACATTTCTTTTAGTATTAAATTTAATAAAATTTGATATAAATTGTCAATTTTAAAATATTTGATATTATTATTTTAATAAATTTTTTTTTATATAATAATCTATATATTTTGAGAATTATAATAAATATAAAATTATAATTCTAGTATTCATATTTAAAGAATTATAAGCTTTTAAAATTTAAAAATCTATTGTTGCATTTTTTTTGTCAATCATTATAAAAAATATTATAATATAAAATAAATAAAATATTTAATATAATAAGAAATAAAATATTTATCTTACTATAGTCTCAAGAAAAACTTTTTGATAAGTAATAATATCATCTCTCTTATGACCATCAATATATATTTTTTTTTGTATATTGACTAAAAATAAATCCCATTTTTTTTAACCATTAAATTGCTTTAGATTTACTATAAAGTATAAAAATTTTTAGTAAAATAAATGTATTAAATAAAATAATTTATAAATATAAATATGATAAAACAAATATCTGATTTTAGTTTTTTCTATACCAATAAAAGATAAAATTTCATTAGCAATATAATCATAAAAACTGTGAACAGTTATATCAAATTTATATTATTATAAATATGATACTACTTTTAATTGAAAATTCTCATCATCAATGATATTACTTTCTTTAAGATGCTTTTTACAATTACTATTAAGAATATTACTATACTTAATAAATGCTTTAGTCTAACTTTTAATATAATAAGTAAACTATATTCTTCAATTTAATAGGTCTGCAATAATCTAACTTACTTTTAACTTTGTATGTCTTTTATTAAAAAGTTATAAATTATGTTAAATAACTATAAGTTGCAACTTATATCCTGAAGTTAAATGTTCACTTTCAAATTTTAGTTTATTTTTAATTCTATTAATCAATATATTTTTTTATAATTTTATTAATATTATCAGATTTAGAATTACTACAGAAAAAAGCATCACTAGAAGAATCACTACTAGAAGAACTACCACTGAAGAAACTATCACTAGAAGAACTATTATTGAAGGAACTATTACCAAAAGAATCACCATTAAAGAAATCATCAGGAAAACTATCACCTAAGAAATCATCATCAAAATTATTATTAGAAGAATTATTACTAGTATTGTTTTGATTATTTAATAGTTAATATAGTCCCTGGCGAAAAGAATGGCGATGCAAACTTTTACTATATAATTAACTTTTTTTTGAAAGGATTTGTATAAACAATTACATGGTATTTTATTGCATTACTAGTCTG